GAAGAGGAGGGGCAAGTGGGGGTAATGTGACAGGCACTGGAACTGGGGCGAGTGAAGAACATAGGCTTGTCAACAGTGACTCTCGGGCCTCCCTGGTGGCACAGAGGTTAAAGACAGTGCTATCAAGCTATCGCCAGCCACTGCAGCACAAGCTGGTGGTGGTGGGGGGGCCCGCAGGCCAGGGAGCTACCCATATGGCGCAACAGACCCCTCTTGTCTCTGTCTCTGGTGAATCCTCTCTCACACACACACACCCCGCACCTCTGGACTGTACCCCAGTTTTTGTATGCATAATTAAATAAATCTTAAAAAAAATAAACAGCGAATCTGTACCCCCAAGTTACAGTTTTGTAAATGAATCAAACTGTAACAGAAGATCCCAAAATGTCCTGTGCTGAGAGGAATAAATGGCAGTGAATTTCTCTCAAGGAAGAAGATGAAAGTTTGGTCCAAACATAAGGGTTCCAGTTAAAACATCACCAGAATAGATACTTATTGTCCTTGCCCATCTCTTCCCCCCCAGGAATACAATATGCTTTCTTTACATTTGCATAACTGAATTGCACCCCCTCTGGCGTCTTCCCCCTTGCCACTCCTTCTGCTCACTGCACTCACCTGACTTTTGATGGCTAGTTCAGCCACAGCATGTCCATTCGTTCAGAGCCCCACAATCCCCACTGCTGGAATGAGCCTAGCTCCCTAAGGGCCTCTCTCACTGCCCGGCCGAGCTACCACAGGAAAGCAAACAGCGACTTCCTTAGTGGCGCTAGTGCCCCTCTCACTAGCAACTCCTCGGGGTCTTGGAAAATGTTATAAACTGTGCCTTTCTGTATGTGTTTTCCAGTTGTTCAGCATACCCACCCCAGTATGCTCACCGCTGAATCTTTTCATCCTGTCTTCCAGTATTGCCAGCGCCATGCTGGCATTTCAACCTGACTTAGGGTGGTCCATCACTGTTTATACCTCCAGGAGCCATCCTAGCAATCAGTTTATACTATCTCTTGTGCTCCTTGCCAGGGTGTTAAATTCTATATTTCAGGAGGACTCCCCCACATTGATAAACTTTCCTTGGTCTGACCTTATAGTCCAGCTCCTTTGATTAAACACGCTGAGAATGCAATTTCATGCAAACTTCCAGTTCCTGCTAATCCATGCCAGCATGGTCTTATAGCTCCTTGGCTATACTCACTTTCCTGCCTTTGCAGACTGAGCATGTTCACTCTGTGCTAAGGCACAGAGGCCTACTGGTCAGGAGGGAAAGTGAATGCATCTGCTTTCTTGTGAGGGAGGTGATGTCCCCAAGCAAGGATTGGGGAGACTATCAGTGGGGTAGTTAAGCCAATGCTGCAGCTTCAGTGAGCTCAGGGAAAACTAGGGATTCAAGATTTCAGTAACATCAGTCTAGATAACTGCAAATCATGTGTCAGAGTCCTATTCTTTCCCAGGCAGCATCCTGCTTTTGACATAGCAAATCTGTCTCTATTGGGAGTTTAATCTCCTATAGAGCTCAATAAGTGCTGAATTCTATTGGTCTTATAGTTACTATTTCCTTCCTATTTCTCAAACACTTGATGCATCACCTCACATCTTACATTCCCTTCTACCAGAGTATCATCCCAATTCACCACTTGAAGGTCTTAACAATAATAGGACTGCCACCTTGTGGCAGGGGACTATCTGTGCTTCTATCAATCCAGAGGCCACCCAGGCAGTGAGCCTCATTACCCACTGGGCAGTAAGCTATCTAGCTTACCCCATCTCCATGCAGGCTTTCTTGAATCACTCCTAATTTCAAGAGTGATAATTTGAAATCTCCAAGGCAGAACGTAGGGTACTGGATACTTTTAAAGAGGTGTTTTGGAATTCACACCTGTAGAAGGAAGCCAGCCTGAGCAAAGCGGGGAGTTGAGCTGCATTGCAGACCCAACAACAGCTTCAGTCAACCCTTCAGAGAGCTCTAGTGTGGGGAGAATGACCCTTCAGAACTGGGGCTGAGATGGCCAAACCTTCCTAGTCCTCCTTTGGTCAGTCACTGTGGGCTACACCAGAAAATTTTGTGACCTTGATGGAGGCAACTGTCTGTACCTGACGCCATCCCTGAAGGGGTTAACAGCAGAAGGCAGCTTGCCAACAGCTCTCTCAGCAGCTCAGCCAAAGAGTTATTTATTGAAATAGGAGATGTGTTGGCACATCACAGTATCCACCACAGGCACCAAGTCTTTACTATAAAAATTGTCTATTACAAGTAAAGAATTAAACCTTTATCCTGTCCTTCCTACACAAACTGTATTTCAGGGTAACCAAATAGCCATGGTTGAGGAGGTCAAGTTCTATAATACAGATCCAGTTAATAAATTATAAGAAATGTTGGGACTAGCCTATCACCATCTTGCAACCCTAATAAAATATTTTTTCAGAAAATAAACATCAATGAATAAAACCATAAAGTAAAATGTTGATGGGAAACTTTATAGTGGAATGTTGATGCTTCCACCACCTCATCAGTGTGAATGTTACTAACTGCTGAATATCGAGGCGAGGACCTCCTGATATGATGCAATAAGGGGACAGCACCATCTGTGAGCGCTCCTGCTTATAAAAACTGTGCTGGAATTTAATGAAAGCTTTAGAGCTAACTTGTGACTTACAGCTAAGTTATACTTATTCCTCTAGCAAGACAAGCAGGATAAGAGAGAACACAGAGGGAAAACAATGAGAATGGAGGACATTCAACAGTGCAAGTAACTTGGTTTCTTCAACAACTCTATAGCATGAAGGGGGAAAAAAGAGGGACAAACTGTTTTACATTAAAGTAGCATTAAGACACAGGACCAAATGTAAATTGTGCATCTTTTTTGGATCTAGATTTAAACCAAATCAAATGTAAAAAGACATATTTGAGATAATTGAGGAAATCAGAATATGGAGTAGGCAGTAAAGGATTCCAGTGAATTGTTATGAATTTTGTTTGGTGTGAAAGTGGCATTGTGATCATATTTTTAAGAAAATGTCCATATTTTTAGAGCTACAGAAGTGCATGGGGTACAAATGACATGATGTTTGAGATTTGTTCTAAAAAGTTTACAGAAATGAAAAAGAGGAAAATAATATATAAATAACTAGGAAAAAGTCTTGATAATTTGAATTGGAGTGATATGCACATGGGGGTTCATTATATCATTCTCATATTATTATTGTACTTATGTGTATTCAGAGACTTTTGTAAATATACCCCCTAAAAAGACAATGTAAAGGACCTAATGGGGAAAAATAATGCTCGAGGAATATAAATAGACCTTTATAAGAGAGGATATAATGGTACGATCAACATTTGGAAAGATATTCTGCTTCACTGGCAGTTGAAGATATCATTTTTTGTTCAAATAGCTGACAAGAAGTTAAAAGAGCAGGACCATCTAGTGCTATAAACATGGCAAAATAGGTGGCTGTTGCTGGGAGGGCTGATCGTCTCCATCCCACACACATACTATCTGATACAGCAATATTCTGTAGAAATAACAGTACCAGAAATTAACCTCACAAGGATGTCTGAGACAGCACCTTTTGTATTGTCAAAACAAAATTGAGGGCCTCCCCGTGGCGCAGCGGTTGAGCGCTGTGTTGCAAAGCTGCCGGCAGCCTCTGCAGAGCCAGTTTTATCACCGGCCACAAGCGAGAGTCCCACATGGCGCACAGACCCTTCCTGCCGCCCGCTGCTCCCCTCAGCAGTGTACTTTGGTCCTTCCGCCTGCTCTGCTCCCCGCTCTGGCTCTGGTGAATTCTCTCACCCTCCCGTACTTCTGACTGTACCCAGTGCTTGTATAAATAAAAAAAAATTGAAAACAACCCTGAATTATCATAGATAAAAGGAAAAATAAAGTATGGCTCATTCATACCAAGGTATGTTACTTTTTTTTTAATTAAAAACTTTTTGTTCCATAATCAGTTTATGTTTTACTGTACAAAAACTAGAAAATACAAATAAGGAAAAAAAGTTCTACATCTGGAGATATCACTTTGGAATATATCATTTCAAGTGTTTTTCTGTGCGTGTGTGTGTGTGTGTGCTCGAGCGCAATGTATTCCTATGTGTATATTCATATTGCTTTTCCAATTTTAAAAAAGGCATCATGTTGCACAATGTTGTAACTTCTTGGTTCCTTAATTCCCTCATGAATATTTTTCCAAAGCAGTAAATATTCCTCTGTAGCCTTGGCCTTTCAGAACTGCAGCGTTCCATTTCATGGATGCGCCACAATTTAACTAATCCTCTACTTGGTGGAGGGCGGGGGAGAGGGGGTAGGGGAAGAGGGGAGGTGTATTTAAGTGCACCCCAAGGTCTCCTTTAACAAACAGCCTTCCTGCCTGCTTGCAAATCTTGGAAGATGACATGCCATTGCCTTCTAGGAAGTTCTGGAGTGCTTCTGCAGGCATTCGAATCAGAGTAGTCAGAATGCTTTCCCATCACGCGAAACTGCTATCTTCCCAGATAGCAACACCGTGGTCTTTACAACTCGTACGACTTGTCTTATCCTGCCCGTTAGTCATGCAGCCTCCCTGGGATTCTGTTCCAGAAATCCCTACATCCTCTCCCTCCTCGGGCTCCTTCCCGCCCCTCCCCACGCCCCCTGCCCCCTCCCTCGCGCTTTCCCGCTCGGCGGCCCGGCCTATGGCGAACGCCAAGAATTAATTAGGGGCGGGGATCGAGGAGCGGCTGTCAGGAGGTCGCCATATTTCTGTACGGCCCCGAGGCCGCGGGCAGCCGGTGGTCGGGAGCGGTGCTGGCAGGCGGGGCCGCCGCTCGGCTCGGCCGGCCTCACCCCTCCCGCCCGGGACAGGTGGCCGGAGCGCGCCCGCCCCCGCCAGCTGCGGGTGGAGCGAGGGAGGGCCGGCCCCGGACGGCCGCCGCCAGCTGCGAGCGGGAGTGAGTGGCGGGCCAGTCCGGGACGGCCGGGCGCGGAGTCCGGCTGCCGCAAACGAGTATCGTGGCGGCCAAAAAAATGCTCCTGTACCGAGGGGCCCGCGGGCCCTGGCGCGCCGGGAGGCGGGCTGGCCCGGCCAGGCGGCGGCCCGCAGGCCTTGGGGATCCGCCTGAGCACGGTAGGTCTGGGGCCCGAGGGGGCGGACGCGCGCGCGGGCCCCGGGGGGCGCGCGGGAGGGCCCGCGCGGCCGAGGCCTCACGCGGACGGGACCTTCTCTCGCCCCCAGATGAGCCCCGCTACCTCCAGAGCAACTCCAGCAGCCACACGCGACCCTTCAGTGCCATCGCGGAGCTGCTAGGTGAGTGGCGAGGGCGGGCCTGGCCGCGATCGCCTGAGGCAGTGGTGCCAACGTGGTGCAGCAGCGGACGCGAGAGGAATGTGCCGAGCCGCGCCGGGCGGGCCGGGACTGGGTGGGGGCGTCGGGACCGGCCTCGGCTCCGCGGGCGGAGGTGGGGGCCGGCTCTTTCGGCCGGGACGAGGTCCCGCAAATAAAGCGGAGGAAACGAGATGTGTCGGAGGAGTGAGAACTCCTGTGTTCTTTTTCTCTCTGGCTCGCGATGTTCCGGGCACTTTAGGATAACCTCGTTAATAATCAAAAGGAGATGCATAAAAATATCGGGCCCCCAGGCAGCTGGGCGCCACAGGGACCTACGACGGAAGGATGAAGCCCTGCTGGCAAAGGGGCATTGTTGGGGACTCGGTAGGGTCGTGGGGACAGTTCTGGAAAACGGAGTGCTTTAACTTTGGGGACAAGAGAGTCTGGGAATGGTGAGACATCTCATAAGAGATGACACGAGTGCATTTGGCTCCTGAGACTGGGGAGGGCCGGGTCCGTGGTCCACGAGCGCCCTCGCTCCGCTGGAATGAATACTGAGCGCTTAACCTCTCCTCTACCACTGATGTTTGCTTTTCAAGCGTTTTCGTTTGATCCCTTGAAGCCTACCAAGTGTACCAACTTTTGCAGTAGTATGCTAAATAGTGTGTGGAAAGCAAAGGGGGGTAGCATTCTCAGGCAAAACGCAGCAGCATACAGAGCACATTATGAATGTTTCCAAAATAAAAAAAAGAAGGGAACGATATTTATAGAGCAAGGTAGCAGCAAACAAAAATCTTGAAAATGCTTCCAAGCTCCCTGAATGAGTTTCAGACACTACTTCAGCAGTTGCTGGGCCATGCTGTAAGAGTTGTCTTGGGCAGGAAGTTGTGTCCAGAAGGACATGGTCAAGGGAGTTATTTGGAAGGTTGACAGGGAATTCTGATGAGTTTGACCATGACCCAGAATGCTTACAAGAGGTATGGCTGTCCATTAGAAGAAGCAGAAAAAAAACGTTACATTAATATGTTTTGAATACTAGAGAGCAGGAACTGAGTCTTTAAGGTTTTGCATAGCACCTTGAGGGAAACCCTGGGAATGAGGTCTTTGTGCTTGTAACTTACAAACAAAAGAGAAAAAGAGGGGAAAACAACAACTTACATGATGGAAAACAGGACACAGAATTTCTATCTGTTGTTCCTTCACAGTGCAAAACCATATGTGTCTTTTGTTGTACTGTGTACTGAATTTTAGAGGGGTGATTTAAAGATTGGGGGAAAAGGGGAGGAGGGAAAGGGGTAGGAGAAAAGTGGGGATGGGGCATTGCCAAGGTAGGTTTGCTTGAGGGTGAGTGAAGCATGTGCACATGTGGCGGAATAAACATGTGACCCCGAAATTATATATGGATATATAAATGACCGACAAATTTAATTTTAAAAAAAGAAAGGAATAAGCCGGCACAAAAGGACAAAAAGGAGATTGATCAGTTTCTAATTTTGCATATATATATGATTTTTGTCTTAAGCATTACCTTAAAAAAAACTAAACCTGGCCCAGGGTGTCCCATATGACTGCAAGCGTGTATGTGTGTGTGTATTGTGTGTACATATACACACACACATGCATATATATGCATACAGATACAGATTTTGAAAACATATCCCAACGATCCATGATAATATTAATAGTAGGGAAAAGGAGAGCAAAGTGTTGATCCAAAGCTTTCATTGCAGGTTTTCCTTCAACAGTTTTCTCCTTCACTTATACATTAATTTTCTAGTGACTCATTCATTTGATAAATGTAGCACTCACTATGGTTAAGGCCACCATGTAGGTACAAAAATGAATATAACACAGATTCACTCTGCTAGTAGAGGATGTAAAACATGTACGGAGGGTCTGTGCTTTGTATAATAAAATTGAAAGCCATATATTGACAACCATAGACTTATCAAGTGCTGTGGCAGTTCAGATGAAGGAGCCATGACTTCCAGCTTACTGGGAAGTACAGGGCTAGGAAAGGCTTCTTAGAAGGGGTGACATCTGAGCTGAGATTGAAGGATTGGGACATGTGGATATGGGTGTGGGGAGGGGAGGGCATTCCAGGCAAAAGGAACAACTGCGTGGGCAAAGGCACTAGGAATGCTGAGTAGTTGAGTTTAATTAGAGCATGGGGTTCACAAGTATCACAACTAGGTCCTTAGCGAATTCACATAGAACCTTCACAAATACATTTTTAACTTTACCTTTTGAAGTAAAGGATGATGATGATGATGATTCTCCTGCAGATAAAGAAACAAAAGCTCAGAGAATTTAGTTGACTTTTCCAAGGTTACATGTCTTATAAATGACAAAACTCAAGGGAACACTCAAATACAAACCTTTCTGCTCTAAGAACCAAGTAGGGAATGAGGTTTTAAAAAAGACGGACTGGGACTAGGGTGTGACTGGGAGGCTCTGGTATTTGGTCTTTTCCTCTGAAGCAGGGAATGTCATGAGCAGAGCTACACTTTAGGGAAGTTAATCTTGCTGTAGCATATAAACTGCATTGGAGAAGGGGAAGGGGAAGACATAGCTTTAGAAGACCAATTAGGAACTTATCACAGTAATCAAATGAGAGGGAATACACTCTGTCAACTCAGAGTGACAATGGGAATAGAAAAAGCAAGCTGTGAGAGCACCTAGGGATATATAGAGCAAGGGAGAGGGAAGGATAAGAAATAACTTTCAAAGCTCAAACTTGTGGTCATTTGAATGCTGAGACTGTGTATAAATATATGGAACAGAGGAAGAAGAATAGGCTTGGGTCAGAAATGATGCCCTTATGTTCAGACAAGAATACTTTCAGGCGTTTGCAGGATATCTGTAGGGCAGCAGCTTGGCCTGGTGACCTTGCAGGAATCCACACAGGCCACCCTCCTGGAACAGGAAGAGATGGGAGGCTTGTGAAGCCCTACCTCAAATCCACGTCCCACTTGCCATTCTGTTTTTCATGGGATGCTGTCATGAGACAGTTTCTCGTTGCTTCATAGGCTGTGTCTTATGATGACATGAGGCTTCCGTTACAATGCTTTTGGGAAAGACAGGGGATCTGGTTGTTTTCCCTAAATGGTAGGCAAGGAGAAGGTAGAGATAGGGTCCTCCCACTAAGGATAGCACAGTCCAGGATAGGAGAGATAAGATGCCCTGGAGTCTGGTAGTACATGGGATTGAGGGGGCCAGGTTAGAGGATAAAGACACCCCAGGACCTGGTAGTGCAGCTCTTGGTTAAGCGGTTTATAAGAGGTGAGGAGTAGGGGTTCTCTCCCTGTCCTCTCTGTTTATTGACTGGATGGATAGGAGGCGATCGATTCCTGAGATCCTGAGAGTTTATGCTAGGTGTTGACAAGTTTGTAGAAGGCTAAGCAGCAAGAGGTAGGATTGAAACCAGACACCAGATTAGTTGGTGTTTTATCATAAATTCATTTGTTGAGGTCGACCTTGTTGTTACTATAATTTCATTTGTTAAGTGGAAGGCCACTTAAAACTGAAAGTAAGTGCAAAGCTGTGCTTACTGCTGTCGGCCAAGCCTGCTGACCGCTTGTTCCCTACCACTCCAGCTGACCCTGGCCTCTTGCATCCCCCCTCCCCCCATACTCCACCAGCTTCCAACCAAGGAGATAAAATGTCTAGCTACGCCTGGCAGCTACTCTGTAACTCCTGAAGTGCCTGTATTAAAACTCTTGGGGGGTGTTCTTATAAAAAGCGCCTGGTGGGCCTCCCTGGTGGCACAAGGGGTTAAGACACAGCCTATGAAGCTGTCTGCAGCCACTGCAGCATGAGTTTGATCCCCGGCCACGGAGCAACCCACATGGTGCAGCAGACCTCTCCTGACTCACCCACTGCTCCCCTCAGCAGTGTACTTCAAGTCAATCCACCTGTTCTGTTCCCCACTCTGTCTCTGGTGAATCCTCTCACCCCCCACACTTCTGGCCTGAACTCCAGTTCTTGGATGCATAAATAAATAAACCTTCTTTTTTTTTTAAAAAAAAAAAAAGCACCTAGTGAAGTTTGGACAAAAACTCACAGTAAGTAGGAAAAAAGTAAAAACGATTTTGTGAGAGACCTATGAACTATGGAGTTAGAATTGATATGTTACATATTGGAGTAGTGTGTTCATAAAATGTTAGGAAGAAGTTCCTCTGTGTTCAAAGTTTGCAATGTAAAAATGATGTCCTGTTGATTTACAAGTTAAAGGTATTAGTCTCAATGATGATCCTTGCTGTATGCCAGCAAAAGTGACTGATAGGTCCCCAAACAATTCAGGGCCCACTTGCCAAGTAGGTTTTTTCCCGCACAAGACCAGTTTTTAATATGACCGTGATCAAAAGCATGAATAAATAAATGCCAGAGAAAGTGGAAAAACCAAACCAAACCTCAGAACATCAAAACCAAAAATTAGAAAACAAAACCAATCGGATCTCTGAAACACAAATTTAAAAAGCCAACCAAATAAACAGAATCAGACTGTACAAGCATGTCACTTGGTGCCAGGGATGAGTCCTAGAGTCATCCAGACCACCATACCTCCAACACAGGCACCAGGATGGCAGGGATTGGGCCCTCCTCACCCCGGGGCCAGCTTGTGGGCAGGTTAAGGACCTCACAAAATACACAAGGACCAAGCATAGTCGAGAGTTCCTTGGTTTCCCTCTGGATTGTGCAGTTTTAATTCCAGCATGGTCACAGGGTGACATCAGGCCTGGACCCTGGTCTACTTGCGTGGTTGCAGAGTGGAGGCTAAAAAATGCATGGAGGTGTGTCATGTACACAGACAGACTTGGAGTGGCGCTGTGCGAAGTCTGAGCATGCAGGCTTTATACATCTGGCAGTAAGATGTGATGGCAGGTTGATTCTGGGGCAGTTCCAGAGTGTGACTTGTTTCTCCCAGGAGGGACATATAGCGGGGCCTGAGGACACGTCATGTCAGATGTGGCTGAAGTGAGTTTTTGGCTGATAGTTTTCTGTGTGTGCATAAGGGGCTTTTGCTTCTTTCTGTTTTTAGGGGTCCTCCCACATGAGCTCGCTGGTCCTTAGACCTGGGTCTTGGACCTCAAGGCCTCTTTAGGGGATGCTGGGTGGTCTGAGGGCTTTTCAGCAGGCAATCTCCTGCAAGGTCCCCAGGGCCGTCTGCAGGGGCACATTTGCAGTGTAGCTGATGGCTTCAGAGTGATTTGGCATCGCCTCACAAGTGCGAGCATTTGCCAAGTGGCTTCTTTTTTTTTTAAAGATTTATTTATTTATTTATACATGCACTGGGTACAGTCGAGAAGCACGGGAGGGTGAGAGAGAATCCACCAGAGCCAGAGCGGGGAGCAGACCAGGCAAAAGGACTGAAGCACACTGCTGAGGGGAGCAGCGGGCGGCAGGAGAGGTCTGCGCGCCATGGGGGACCCTCTTCCTGTGGCCAGGGAGCAGCCGGGGATCGAACCGGCGCTGCAGAGGCTGCGGGCAGCTTCGCAACCCAGTGCTCAACCACTGCGCCACCGGGAAGGCCCACCAAGTGGCTTCTTAAAACAACATAGGCAGCGTCAAAGTACTGCATCCTTCTGTCAGTTGAAAAAACAGCTGCCTCTTGTACAAAGTAAAACACTTAAAGGCATCACTGCATGTCAAACTTATGATTCCCATTCAAGGTTGGCCCTTTTGATTTACCATATAACACAGAGCTTTGGCCTCACTTGGTCCTTAAAGATCAACAATATCAGCCCTCTTAACACGCTTCTGGGACTATGGGTGACGCTTTACTGATGTTAAGACTTTCCAAGTTACAGTCGCCATGGCAACTCCACTGTGGTGTTTGAAAGGAATGCGTCTTGTGTTTGATGGGCATTCCACACACCCTAGTGTTTGTAGCTGATATTATTAATTGTACTGTAAAAATAGATATTTTGAGGATGTGTGATAATTCTCTTGCTTGTAACGGAAGCCCAGTGGAGAACTGCCACAGTTTGAACAGTGCCAGTCAGGAACCCACCCAGAGTCTCTCAGCCCAGCCATGTGGTGTCCGCACAGCAGCATAGGAGGCCAGTGAAAGGGAAGGTTGGGGGAGTAGTTTTCTGCCTTGATTAAAGGGCTAGTAAAGAGAGAAGTGCTTAAGGAACCCATTCTTACACACTGCACAGACTTCCCTCACGCTCAGACCAGTGAGCCCTAATAACACTTTTGTGCCACTGTGTAGTGACTGACAATTGTGTAAACTAGTATGTGATAAAAAGACGTGACTACTAGGCACATGACACTCCCTAAGATGGTGGACATGACACATGTGAAAATAGGATTTGATGTCTTCAATAAAGAACCCATTATGAAAACATAACTCAGGAGGAATTGTGAAACTTTGTTTTTTTTTTTTAACTCTAATTCTGTGTTCTCCATTTCACGATAGCCTCACTTTTAGAATGATTACGAAGTACCTAAGCACAATCACTCCTCCTCTCTAAAGATGCTTGCTGCCATCACTGCCATCCTGGCAGACATTAAACGTTTTGCTTTTACCTCTCACTCTTTCAATGAATGTTAGGCTACAAAACAGGGATGGTGATGATACCTATGTCCTTTACCAGAAGCGGTGATATTAAAATGTAGAAAATAAGATGTTCTGGGCCTCCCCGGTGGCGCAGCGGTTGAGCGCTGGGTTGCGAAGCTGCCCGCAGCTTCTGCAGTGCCAGTTCGATCCCCGGCTGCTCCCCGGCCACCTGAGGAGGGTCCCACATGGCACGCAGACCTCTCCTGCCGCCCGCTGCTCCCCTCAGCAGTGTACTTCGGTCCTTCTGCCTGCTCTGCTCCCCGCTCTGGCTCTGGTGAATTCTCTCACCCTCCCGCGCTTCTGACTGTACCCAGTGCTTGTATAAATAAATAAAATAAATAAATAAAAATAAAATTAAAAAAAAAAAAGAAAATAAGATGTTCACAAATAAGCTGTGTCTATTTGTAGTATGCACCTATTTGTACCAGAATTGTAGATTTACCTCTTTTCCATAGCCACCCTTTACTGTATGTATTCATGAGCCATAATGTGGCTAAAGGAGAAGTAATAAGACAAAAACAGGGCACAGACTCGGAAGTTTGAGGGGAAAAAGGCAGATTGCAGTCCAGTCATTCTATGAAATCTAGCAATCAGCCTCTTAACCCCATCTGCCATCATTCCTATTGTTCCTATGACCTAGTGAGTGCACTGCCATTAATGCTCCCTGCTCACCCTCTGTAACATACATGAGAAGGGAATTAAGAACAGTTTCCATCACTGAACTAAAGATGTTACTAGAATATTAGAAAGAGATATCTAATATCACAGATTTCTACCTTTTGCAGATAATGCTGTAGATCCAGATGTATCCGCCAGGACGGTCTTTATAGATGTTGAGGAAGTCAAGAATAAATCTTGTTTGACCTTTACTGATGATGGATGTGGGATGACACCTCATAAACTGCACCGAATGCTCAGGTAAAAATGTCTTCATTCTTTTTTTCTTGGCTTGAGATTATGAATTCTATATAAACCTTAATAGCTTTCTGTGACATTTTACTTTCCTTTTATTCATTCAACGAATATTAATTAAGCATCTATTATGTGCCGGGACTGGTTATAAAACAGACACTGTTCTTACACTCACAGGATGGATGGTCTAGCTGGAAATTCAGACAATTAAGCAAGTAATCAAAAAAAATGTTAAGTATAACAATAGGAAAGTAAAGGATATAGCAGGGTAAGACAAGAGGGGAACCCAATCTGATCGAGGAGGTCAGGAAAAGCCTCTTAGATGAGTCATGTTTAAGCTGAGATCTAAGAATGAGTAGAATTTAACTAGGTAAAGGAGAAGGAGCAGGGATGGGAGGTCAGGCAAACAGCAGCAAAGGTAAAGACCCATCAGACCTTCTCCAATTTATATTCATCCAAACTTACTCTTAAATCAGAAACATTAGAGGTGGGGCAATTTGTGGATTAGAACAATGAAGGTACCTGGGTATAACCAAGCCTTGTGAAAAGATAAACAAGACATTCACTTGTATAATCTTTGAAGGTTTTGAAGTAGACATGCAAAGTTAGGAAATGCTCTTTTCTACCTGCTGAAGCTGGTGATAGATTCCCATGCCACTCTCGGTTCATTTCCTTACTTTCAAAGGTTTGTACTTGACAATGTACTTCATTATCTTCGCATATCACTCAGTAAATGTGTTTCCTCAACTCCTTCCTTCGCTCTTCCTTGTTAGTAGATGAGGTTGAATATTCTCCGTGTGGCTTCCTGGACTCGTGTGTGAAGCATGAGTAGCAATGAAGGGTGCTGTGGAGGAGGGAAAGGATTCCAAACTATCAAAATGGAAAATATTCCTTTGGTTGGAATTCTCTATTAAGTTATTGTAATTTTATAATCCTGTTTGTAGGAAAATCCCTTTGATCCTGCAAAGAAAAAAATAAAATTCGGGCATACCCAATTATAAGCTTAGGTTTTTTTTTTTTTTAACCACTCTGAAATCTGTGTGCTTGCTTTTCAGACTCTTATTAATTAGAAGAGTATTTAAGAAAAACCTCTAAAAGTGAGACAAGCATGTGACCAGTATGTTGCTGGTCACAAATTTATTGTTTTATATTAAGAAAAATACAACTTTAGATGTAATGGAACCAAATTATTTCTGTCTAATTCTGTATACATTGGGGTTCTTTTTTCTAAAATCACTTATCTTCTTAATCACTCCTTCTCACCACATCTTATCCAGTGACATGGGTGTCAAATAGCGACCCCAGAAAAATCTTTCTGCCTTCCATTTTCTCAGTGGGACTGTTACTGTGCAGGGTGAGCGGTACCTTGGGACCCCCAAACCTTTCTGCTCTATAGTGGTTCTGCCATCCATCTCATCAAGACAAAACATATTCTAGTGCATAAGATCTTCATAGAAAATAACTTTAGGGCCTCCCTGGTGGTGTAGGGGTTAAGTTGAGACTTAACTCTCATCTCTACAATCTTATTTTGATCCCCGGCCAGGTCGGTGACCCACATATGGCACAGCAGACCTCTCCTGTCTCGCCTGCTGCCCCCCTTTAGCAGTGTATTTCAATAAAAATTTCCATGTTCTGCTCCCCACTCTGTCTCTGGTGAGTCATCTGTACCTCTATCCTACACCCCATTTCTTCTGTGCAAAAAAAAAAAAAAATAGAAAATAACTTTAGGGCCTCCCCTGGTGGCTCAGCGGTTGAGTGCTGGGCTGCGAGGCTGCCCGCAGCCTCTGTAGCTCCAGTTCGTTCCCCGGCAGCTGGTGAGGGTCCCACAAAAAAAAAAAAAAAAGAGAGAGAGAGAGAGAGAAAATAACTTGAATCTTTAATACAATTAGTATGCAATAGAGAGAAGAGCAGGACTGCTGAGGCTCAAAAGCTTGCCACAAGTCTAAGGCACCTTCTGGTGGGGACCCATAGGAAAGGAGCAGAAGGGGGTCCCCCTGGTGACGCAGCAGGTTGAGCGCAGCACTGTGAAGCTGCCCGCAGCACGGGTTCAATTCCCAGCCGGCCAGGAAGATACCCACATGGCGCAGCAGACCTTTCCTGTCTCGCCCGCTGCTCCCCTCAAGCAGTGTTTTCGGTCCGCCTGCCTGTTCTGCTCCCTGCTCTGTCTCTGGTGGGTTCTCTCACCCTCCTGCGCCTGTGGCCTGTGCCCCAGTTCTTGCATAAATAAATAAACCTTTAAAAAAATGGTGGGGGAGGCAGAAGTCACCAGGCAAGTCTGGAAGAGTAAAATCAAAGCCCAAGTCAAGATAAAGGCTGCTATTGTCAGCTTCCCCATGGGTCTCTCACCCACATCTCTGCCTCTTCCAAATGTCTCTTTCCATGTTCCCCAAGTCCTTGGTGCAAGTTCAAGGCTGAGAAGCAAGCACAGCCTCTTCACATGTCTCTCTGCAATGTGCCTTCTCAAAATCTTCATCATCCTTCCTTCCTTCTCCCCATCTTCTCTAGCTTCCCTCCCTGCTCAACTCCACCTTTCCTTAGGGTAGGGCAGGGAATCTGGAACCTCCCCTTCCCCTGTTACAATACTACACCTGTGAAAGTTGACATTTATAATTACAAGGCAGGAGGAAGGAGGAGGATGGTTTCAAAATAATTGTGACAATCTTTGTTCCAAATTCACTCAACAGTTTTTTCTCAGCACCAATGTGAAAGTCACTGGAGACAAAGTGGTGAACCAGACAAACATGATCCTAGTTCTTAGGGGCTGACAGTTGAATGAGATAGAAAAGAATTGACTCGTAATAAAACTAAATGGGTCATCCCATCTAAAAGTAAGTGTTATGAAGAGTACAGTTTCTATGAGAGCATATAATGAATCAAAAAAGGCTACCCTGAAGAAATGACATTTGAGTTGAAATATGAAGGCTGAGTATCATTCATTCAAAATTTTTGTCCCTCCCCAAGTAATAAAACAGAGAAGAGGGGGCAGAAACTTCTTTAGCTCTAGCATGTTTTGGCATTAGCATGCCAAATGTTTCCCACTAATTTAAGCTGAGCAATTATTTCTCAGATTTAAAATTAATTTTAGAGAATTTTTTAAATGAATTCTGGGTTATGTATAGTGTATGTACTGGATTTAATTTGTGATTATATCTTAAAACAAACTTGAATCAGCTAGAAGGTCCCATTATTTAAAAGAGATCATTTAGTCCAATCCTAACTTCTAGCCAAGGATTCCACTTACCCTCATTTCTTCTTAGGTAGTTGAACTGTAGAGATAGCTTTGAAAATCTTTATTAAGTATATTAAATTTTCTGTCTTTGGTGTGGGGCTTTACTTTTGTATTTGGAAAAAATAATAGAGGTGATTATTCAAATTATTAAGCCTACAGAAATTCTGTTTGACCTATAACATTTATAATTCTATCCACATTTTCCAACTCTTTAAGCACTTTTTCCTATTTTCAGAGTAATGAAATAGTTATATAACTACACCGACACTCTTTCCCATATGTACAGAATCCCATGAAATCAAATTAAAAAGGGAAAACCTATAATTGAATTACTTTATGGTCCATGATTAATTTTCTTTAGCTTCTGGGGGTAGTGTGTGAACCAGATAATCTATATGTTCAGCAAGGTGAAACACCTCTTTCAAAGGTCATGGACTAAAAGCAGCCATAAAGCCACAGATTGAAGGTATTTCTACCTCTGTATAGAAGTACTTTTCCTAGTAGGTTTGTTCTAAAACAAGCCAGAGATTAACAGTGTGCTTAGCAGTATTTCATCCTTTTACATTGCTGGTTACATCACCAGGATATCCGGGCAACAGCAGTACCTGCCTTTGTGTGTCCATGGACTTGCCCAGATTTATTTCATTGGTTAGAATCTCAATTTAAATTTCTTTCTCTAGATTCTAGATTCTTGACATTTTAGGGAATTGAAGACCAGCTGCTATAGTTCTAGATTCTACTCAAAAGAGCTGGTATCCACCCCTCCCCCCACCCTGATGATAAAGCAGGACTTATTTAGTGAAGACAAACCACCTATCTGAGCTATCTCTGTAGAAAATGACCAAGCTGTCCCGAAATACATAAAATTCATTCCTATATTTCAATTATTGTTTACTGTATGGGCTTTTATATTAGGTAAGGCATACCTCATTTTATTGTGCTTTATAGTGTGGTACAGATACTGCTTTTTTTTTTTTTTACAAATTGAAGATTTGTGACAAGGAAGGTGGTCTATTGGCACCATTTTTCCAGCAGCATGTGCTCACATCATGTCTCTCACATTTTGGTAATTTATCACAATATCTCAAACTTTTCATTATTATTTTATCTCTTATGGTGATCTGTGATCAATGATCTGGGATGTTACTACTGTCACCCTCCACTAGCAAAATGGTTTAGAAGTGGCACATGATGAACTTCTTAAGCAATAAAGTGTGTTTAAATTAAGGTATGTGCATTTTTATAAGCTATGATGCTATTGAACACTTAATAGATGGCAGCCTAGTATAAATATAAGTTTTATATATACACTAGAAAACCAACATATTCATGATTTGTTTTATTGTGATATATGCTTCAGTGCAGTAGCCTGGAATCAAACCTGCAGTGTCTCTGAGGTATGCCTGTAGTTATTTAATTGCTATCTGGCATCCATTCTGCAATTTGCGGTTAAATAAAATACCTAACATAGGAGTGTAAGTGGAATAAAAGAGCACACAGAAGAGTTCAGTGGAATATAACAGCAACAGGAGGAACATAATAATAGCCACAAAACCTAGAACTTCCAGCTCCTTTCTCCTCATTATTCTTATCCTTTTGCATTCTAGTTCTGGCCCTGCCCTACCACTTATCTTCTCAACCTTATATAGTCCTCTGGTCTCCCCAAACCAGGTAACACAGTGAGGGTTTATACTTACAAAGGAAAACAAGAGATGATAGACAGCAGAGGCAAGAATGAATAGAAAATTAAGGGAGTCCTGTAGTCTCCCTTGATTTCAGCACGTTCCCTTGATCACCTAATTGAAGCTTTTTAACATTAAAAATAGTTGAAGAGTTCATTTAAAATTAAAGTTTGAATACTATGCTATTATTTATAAAATATTGTGCATTCAGTACATAATTTAATTCTCATAATCACCCATCTTTTCTAGCCAGTTCTTCACAAAAGGAATATGAACGCTGAATCTTACCAATTTCTATTAAGTTTATTTCCTGGAATACTCAAGTCCACAGACAACAGAAAGTCAGTGCTGGGTTTTTTTTTTTTTTAAGATTTTATTTGTTTATACAAGCACTGGGTACAGTCAGAAGCGCGGGAGGGTGAGAGAATTCACCAGAGCCAGAGCGGGGAACAGAACAGGCAGAAGGACCGAAATACACTGCTGAGGGGAGCAGCGGGCGGCAGGAGAGGTCTGCGCGCTATGTGGGACCCTCCTCCGGTGGCCGGGGAGCAGCCAGGGATCAAACCGGCGCTGCAGAGGCTGCCGGCAGCTTCGCAGTCCAGTGCTCAACCGCTGCGCCACCAGGGGAGGCCCAGTGCTGTTTTTTTTTTTAAAGGAACCACTGCCCTAGATACTACCTTTTTTTCTGTGGCTAGAGTCATTTGTATGATATACAAACTCCTGTAAAGTGTCTACTCTAGAAGGACATAATCATTGCATAACACTTTGAATTAGGAAATTAAAAAGTGGCCCCCTCTCTTATGATATAAACACAAACCACAGCTTTCAGGAATTAGAAACCTAGTACCTCAGCCCTGCTCAAAAGAGTGAGAGCCAAGACCAAGCTGCTCAAAACATCTATTATGTTGGTGAAGATTCTCATCTGTAATATACAAAATCCTTCCTTAGATGGTAAACCACAAGGGCAAGAAACATGTGTCTTTTATTAACAGTTGTGTCTCCAGTACTTAGCACAATGCATGGCACATAATAGCTACTTAGGAAATATTTATTGAATGAATGGTAGTGTACGGCATTGTATGATTAGTCAATCTGAAGAGAAGAAGTGCTTAAAAGTAGTTTTATTTGTGGTGAGGGAAGATAATACAGGAGGAAGAGAATCATGTTTACCTTTCATATCTCTGATTTTTTCTTTTGGTTCTATTATTTTGTGTGTGTGTCTGAATGAAGAATATAAGGAAGGGAAGGGATCTGGCCCCCAGATTAAGCTGATTATAAGGAGATTGTTGAGGTGGCTCAGTAAAACGCCCTTAATAGAACAAGAGAGAAATACTGCAGCTGTTTGCTGATACTCAGAAGTAGAACTACCTATTTTTATCTGTTGGGCACAATCCAATGAACTGTCCCAGCAGATGGAGCGGAGGGTAAGAATTAGAAGGGTTATCCTTTGGGTGGAGAGTTGAGATTGTCAAGATATATAACCTCTGACTTTCAGATTTCTACAGGGTCATATAACCAGGGGATGTCTATTTCGCACCTCTGACCAGTGCCACTATCTGGTACTTTCATTACATTTTCTAGGGTATACTGTGAGATAACTGTCATTTTCACCGTAACCTAACTTTAGTTCTAACAATTAGAATGGTTTTATCGCTGCAAACTGCCTGTGGCCTTCCCCGGCTATCTCGCCTAGTCACTGACAAGAGACTGCTTTCACAAAGCTTGACTTACATGTTATGGAAATGTTTATGTACATACAAGCCTTATAGAAAATTAGTCCCACTACCCCATAGTAATTTCCTGTGTTTTGAAGTTAATAATTTTGTCCAGAAATACCAACAGGAAGAAAACAGGAGGAATTTTTGCAAGTGTTCTTCATTTGTAAGCCAAACTTCTGTCTGTTATCCTTCTTAGGATGCTTTTTTACATTTCTGATTTCTTTTTTCTTGTGTAATTACAGCTTTGGCTTTACAGATAAAGTAATAAAGAAGAGCCAGTGTCCCATCGGGGTCTTTGGTAATGGTTTCAAGTCAGGCTCCATGCGGCTAGGAAAGGACGCTCTAGTCTTCACCAAGAATGGGGGTACTCTCACTGTTGGACTTCTGTCACAGACCTATCTGGAATGTGTCCAGGCCCAGGCTGTTATTGTACCCATTGTTCCATTCAGCCAGCAAAACAATATCCTTTCTGGAAGTGGAGACTGTTGGTTAAAAATTAGTCTAACTGGACTATTTTAATAGAAACCTCTTTCTTCAGGTCAAATCCGGCTATAAGAGTTTTTATATTTAAAGAGGTATTCAAATGTCTTAAATTTAACTGGAATTTTCCTCTTTTAAATATATATATATATTAGATAGATACTGGATGGTTTAAATATGTGTGTGTGTGTGTGTGTATGTATAGGAATATAAATAACCAAAGAACACATTCTGGTAAAAAGAGAGTATTTAATTCTTAACTTCTGTGAAAAATGTGCTGGTTCCCAGAAGGAATGGGGGGAGAGGGGAGGAGGAAAAGGGAAGGAAGGGCATGGGACATTGCACTTATGGAGGAGTAAAAATGTAACCCAGAAGTTATATAGTTATGTAAAGGACTGAAAATTAATCAAAATACTAAATAATATTTTAAACAGAAAACCAAACAAGTTTAATAACATGTATACCTCCTATATACATGGGAGAGACCCAGGAAAATGGAGTAGCTTCTTGGAATGGCCCAGAGCTATTACTTTAATTAAAGTCTTCAGCTAAAGACAAAAGATATGGGGTGAGGGGAATGCTATTTTGGGGTGGTTACCAGGAAAGCACCATAAACGGGCACAGTTGTTAAGCAGATTTAAGTCAACACCATTTCCATTAATGAATTTCTAGAGATTTGGTCATCTTCCTAGTCCAGAGAGGGAGACACCCTTACAAATAGAGATGTGTCCTTGTAGTGTAAATGTGTCATAACAAAGGGCAGCTTCTACTCCGTTTTCCTATGACTACTGTTTATTAATTTTTTAAAAAAGAGTTGTGCCATGAAATGTTTTTGCTGCATTGAAATTTTCACTGTTATGTGATTTGACCTACATAGGGTATCTCTTCGCCACCACCATTACCCTGGGCCTTCTCTTTTTTCCCCTTAAGTGTAGCTATATTTGTGTCTTATGCCTAGAAACATACCATTTATCAGTTTATCGGATAGCAGACTAGCTCACATCCTTCTACCTGGACAAGTTATTATTCCTTTTAGACACCAGGTTGTCTTGACATCAAGCAGCATGGCTTTGAATTCATTGCTTCCAAAGAGTCTTCAAGATTCAGCCTTTGGCCTATTTCTTAAATATAGGACTGTCTCTGTTTACATTCTGTCTTTGAAGCGGTATTCTGCATGTGTAGCTGATGTTGCTGTTTGTCTCCACAACCATTCTCCCCATTCCCTTTTCTTCTGTAGCAGTAACACACATGCTTTATGTCTATATTTTGGTCTAAGCACACAACCCAACAGGCAGATCTTCCCAATTGATAGCATCCTAAGGTATTAATTTTTCTTTGACTATATTTGTTTTTACAAAAAATGATTATTACTGAGGATTCCTTGCCCAGCCTAGAAGCCATCTTGAATTATTCAATTTTCAACAGTGAAAATGACCTGCTGTCCCAGTTTGATGCCATCCCAGGCAAAAAAGGAACTCGCGTTCTCATTTGGAACATCCGCAGGTATAGTATTTCAAGGGGGGTAGATTCTAATTAGCAAAGGTAGTATGACAAAGTACATTTTAATAAGTCTCTCTAGAGAAGCAGAATAGATCAATTTAATACATGTTTATATCTCATTGCATACCCTTCCTTAACTTTCTTAGAATCACAGTTCTGTTTGAGATAATAATTCTTGTTGGTAAAATGTAGCACATGAATAGTCTTACAAAATAATCAAGACATTCTAAGATCCTCCGAATCCATTTAAATCCATCTATTTTTTATTCAGGGACATTTATTTTGAGGTAGGTAAATGATAGTTATTTTACCTTATTTGACAATGAAAATAAAGTATGAGGAAGAGAAATCAGGGTAGCAGCACAACCTGCCTGAAAATTTTACAAATAAGGATCTATGTATTGTTTGCTTTCAGAGTGGCTGGATTAGTAGAAAAAAAATTTTTTTAAGTTTTATTTATTTATGCATACAAGAACTGTGGTATAGGCCAGAGGTGTGGGAGGTCAAAGGACCCACAGGAGACAGAGTGGGGAACGGAACAGGCAGATGGATTGAAATACACTGCTGAGGAGAGCAGAGGGCAAGACAGGAGAGGTCTGCTGCTCCATGTGGCCAGCTCCCTGGCCGGGGATTGAATTTGCGGTTCAGAGGCTGCGGACAGCTTCACAGTGCTGCACTCAACCCCTTGTGCCACTAGGGAGGCCCAAGTAAAAAATTTTTGAAGCAGATAAATTTGAATTATAGTGAGGATGATTTCAGATTGTGTGTTTAGACCTAATCAAACAATCTAGAAATATTCTAGGATACATCATTTGTTTGATCTTGTCATGTCAAATGTGATACATTTAACAGTGTCCGCTAAAACCTAAATACCTTTAAGGGACTCCCTGATGGCACAGGGATTAAAGACACAGTGCTACCAAGCTATCTGCTGCCACTGCAGCTTAAGTTCGATCCCCGGACAGGAAGCTAACCCACATGGCACAGCAGACCTCTCCTGTCTCGCCCGCTGCTTCCCTCAGCAGTGTATTTCAATAGATCTGCCTGTTCTACTCCCCACTTGGTGAATCCTCTCACCTCCCGCACCTCTGGCCTACACCCCAGTTCTTATCTGCATAAATAACTGAATCTTTAAAAAAAAACCCTAAATACCTTTAATATGAACTAAGTATTATTGGTTTGTTTCATAGAACAGGGTAGTGGATATAGTAATTCTTTTTCTCTTCAGGTCAAGTATTACACATTATCACTTTTCTGGGTAAAACTTACATAAAAACCATACTAGAGTATTATATGAGTATTTTCAATTTTAAAAAGTAAAGAGAATTCACAAATTAGTAATTTAGATCTTTATATGTCCTGTTGGGAAAACATCAAGTAATACAATTATATTATAAAGGACCTTTTCCCCTCGATCGAAACGCCAAACTAACTTTTTTCTTTGTACATTGCTTCTCAGTTATATGGTAGTAGGTGGTATGTAAATAAAGGATTCCATGGTCAAATAACTTTGGGAAAAGCTGGCTTAACCAAAGCTTACCGTGTCACTTTATTGCAGGAATTCCCAGAGGTTTTAATATGCCAGTGTTCACTAAAAATATTTAAGAGAGCAATTTAGTATCCAATTTCAAAAATGTTTCTCCCTTTTCCTTGGATAGTGAATGGTGAGGAACAGGGAGAACAGGGGATCCCCTCAGAGTATATGCATTAGAAGGGGTGGAGTAATAAGAATCAGTGTTATCCTGGAAAATCCAGAATATACTATTACAGTGACACAGACTTTATACAGGCTACATATCATAGTGGCTCTGGCCAGGCCTGAAAAAGGAATCCTGTTTTTGTCACAGCTGCTCTGAGCTTGCGGAGCCTGCAGTACAAGGGAATATCACTAGAACTTGAGGTGACTCTGACAGATAGCTATTGTCTCTCAATTTTATTTGATCATCAACTTTTCTTTATTTTTTATCGAAGAGGATCGTGAGGGGCTACTATTCTACAAAACAAATTTTGGGAACCATTGTTCTGATATTTCTGTTTGCTCTATAACCCATCATTTGTTTTGAATTTTTTTCTAGGAACAAAAATGGGTCTTGCCTTTTTTTCCCCCTGGCAGTTGCTAGTGATGTAGCCCAGGGTCTTGGAATGGATTAAAGCTAAGTGACCTAAAAAGGCCATGGGAAGAAGAAAGGTCCTTACAAAAGGAATATGAACACTTATCTTAAATGCTAATTCCATAAATGATATTCTAGAGGACTAGCGATTATATGCTGTTTCAATTACAACCATTTTTTCCCTTCTAAGATAGGGTTAAATCTGGGGCAAGCTTTGTATTTCATTAGACCTTATACTTTTGCTGAAGTTAGAAGAAGTAGGTTTAGATTTTTCTATTCATTCGGTTGTAGAAAATGATGTTGAATGACCTACCCAACAATACCCAAAAAATTTGGTTCTATTTTAAGATCCTGCTTTGAGGCTAGCTGACATTCATTTGACTTATCAGATCACAGACATTCTCATGTTCCTCCCCGCCCCACAACCCTTTTCTTTACTTGGCATCACCACTTCTATGAAACATAGTAGATTTGTTTAGACTGGAAATACACTCAAATATATTATGTGATCTTCAAGCCAAGTAGTTTGTATTTCCTTTGCACTGGTAGTCAGGGAAAGAAATAGAAACCTGAGTTTTGGCTCATATTGTTTCTTTTCTCTTGGGTTCCTAGTGCGTTTTTGTCCTTTGGAGCCAGTTTTTGTTAGATTGGTACTTGTCTCTTTTACCCAGAAATAAAGATGGAAAGTCTGAGTTGGACTTTGATACAGATCAATATGACATCTTGGTATCAGACTTTGGCACAGAAGAAAAAGAGACTGGTGATGTTACTTCTGAGCTGCCAGAAACAGAATATTCTTTACGGGTGAGTAAGAGTGCTTTTTCTTCAACAATGGGAGGAGGTAAGATTTCCTATAACATGAAAATATTGTTCAAAAATCTCACTTTAGTTATAGAAAGTGACAACATTTTAGACCTGTGCTAGGATTCATTTTCATAGTCTCCACTGAAACAGTTTGGTTAATATAATCAGCAGCATTTTAGTGTGTAGAAGAGTATAGAAACTGAGTCAAATCTTTACCCAGAATAACTCTCAGTTGCTAATAGTGTTTTATGGAGATGTCAATGGAAGTGGGAATATATAATGACTTTCTCTTCACTGTTCCATAGGCATTTTGTGGTATTCTGTATATGAAGCCACGAATGAAAATTTTTCTGCGTCAAAAGAAGGTGACCACCCAGATGATTGCTAAGACCCTGGCCAATGTAGGATATGATATATATAAACCCACCTTCACAGTATCCTTACAACTGCGTGATGTTAACCTCATCGTTTCAGGGTTGGATTTTCAGGTTGGCACAGAAAAACAAAAGTCTTCCCTTTGCCAATTCAAAATTGTGTGTTACAGTGCAAATCCTATTACACGTACTCTATGGAGGTATTTCTTAAATGTCAATCTATACACACATTTATTATCAGGAATCACCTGAATGTTATTAAAAATCTGAGATTTTGAATATTCTAGTTCAATGGTTTCTGAAATTCTTTTATTCATATGAAATATTTATTTTTAAAACCTTGGCTGATTGTAATGAGTAGCCAAGTTTGAGAATCTCTGCTGTAAGGAATAATCCACACTGTTTAGTTTGTACTGGAATTTCATTATATGTTATATTTTTTTTTTTTTTTTTTTTTTTTTTATAGAGGCATGCTTTATTTATTTGTTTGCTGGTTTGTTTGTTTTTGTTTATACATGCACTGGGTACAGTCAGAAGCGCGGGAGGGTGAGAGAATTCACCAGAGCCAGAGCGGGGAGCAGAGCAGGCAGAAGGACCGAAGTACACTGCTGAGGGGAGCAGCGGGCGGCAGGAGAGGTCTGCGCGCCATGTGGGACTCTCCTCCGGTGGCCGGGGAGCAGCCGGGGATCGAACCGGCGCCGCAGAGGCCGCGCGCAGTTTCGCAACCCAGCGCTCAACCGCTGCGCCACCGGGGAGGCCCTCATTATATGTTATATTGATTGAAATCAGCAAAATGTTGGCTCGAACTTGTTAGTCTTTTGAACTTAGTGTGATTTTTCTCATAACAAGTACAGCCTTAATGTTGATGGAAGTTAAGAGAGTAGAATTAAAGGCTGATTTTTCTAGGGTGAGATAAATCTTCAACAGGTGTGACATGAATTTCCTGATACTTCTTAAATGGCAGCCACTCGGAGAAGTAATTACTCATTTCCATTCCTACCCCTCCCCACCACTACACTGAGAAAATCTTAAGATGAACTATGGAAACTAGGTCCATCATTGTTGGTGGCTTTTTGACAGAAAGCAAAAAGACTTTGAAAGGTTGAGAACTCATAAGCAGAACTCATAGGAATTGCTCTTGTACTTCCTTTTCTAGTAATGAAGCATAGCTCTTGGCCCAAGAAACGTGTTCATACTATTTCCTTTATCAAAAGTGTGCTTTCTTGTTTATAAGTGCCTGATTTAAAAGGAAAAAAAAAATCAAACGTGTTATTTAGCCTGTTTGTCTTTTCCTGACCCAAACAAACCCAACTTAGCAAAATCACAGTGAGCACTGTTAACATCTGTAGGTATAATAACAGCTTATAGGATCACTAAGATCCTAGCTTAAGTTATCTTGCTATCTAATGAAATACAAAGTTTACCCCAGATTTAACCCTATTTCTTAGAAGGAAAAAATGGTTGTAATTGAAACAACATATAATTGCTAGTCCTCTAGAATATCATTTGTGGAATTATAACTTAAGATCCTATAAGCTAGGATCTTAGTACTGTAAGTTTAACGGAGCCAGTTGAAAAAAAGTGCTTTCTACCTATTGTTTCAGGATATATACCACATACCTGTGTCCAGCGTCTTTCTTTTATGGGTTTCTATCGGGACAACTCCTATGGACGTATTCCATATGTACATCAACTCTTCTCAACCCCCTTTCCATTATTAGTTACCTTTCACTATTAGAATTTAGGCTAACTGAAGTCACTATAGGCATCAATAAAATGAAACCCCAATAAAATTTCCCCCAGGGTCACTGATGCTACTTATTTATCCCTCAAAGACCTCTTCCTTCCTTTTATCTTTTCTCCTTATACTAATTTGGGCAACCTTCTACCCCAGTGTACTCCTACCCCATAATTTAGAATTGTAGAAACATACAACAGAAAGTTTTCAGCAGTCTTTATCTCAAAAATGTTAATTTTATGATGTGAAGTTTTATTTGTTTGTTTTAGGGGATTTTGTCCTGCTTTGTTTTTGTATTGGAATAGGATTTTTTTTTTAAATAATAAATTTTATTTTTATATTCCCCCATACAATTGCAAACGCCCCATTCTGACCCCAATCCTTCCCCTCCCGCCCCCCACTCCCCAAAAAGTGTCTCTGGTTCATAGTTTTTTGTTGATTTTGATTTTCACTTTCTTATATTCATTTTCCTGGTCCCTTATTTAAGTTTTCTAGATTCCTGCTATGAGTGAGACCATCCGGTATTTTTCTTTTTCTTTTTGGCTTATTTCGCTGAGCATGATCCCTTCCAGCGCCATCCATGTTGCTGCAAATTGCATGTGTTTATCTTTTTTGAATGCTGAGTAATATTCCATGGTATATATGTACCACATCTTCTTGACCCAGTCATCTATTTTTGGGCATTTGGGTTGGATTATTTTCTTTGTTGTTGCTGAGTCTCATCAGCTCTTTGCAGATTTTTGTGATCAGTCCTTTATCATTAGTGTTGGGTGCAAAAATGTTCTCCCAGTTGGTGGGGTTTCTCTTTGTTTTTGTTATTGTCTCTTTTGCTGTGCAGAAGCTCTTTAATTTGATGTAGTCCCAGCTGTTTATCTTTGCCTTCACTATCACTGCTTTGGGTGATGTGTCTGTAAAGATGTCTTTGATGTGCAAATCCCGTAGTGTTTCGCCTATATTTCCTTCTGTGTATTTTATGGTTTCAGGTCTTATGTCTAGTTCTTTAATCCATTTTGAGCTTCTGGAGCCTAGAACATTAGATATTCTGAGTCAGACATTACTGTATTATGTCCTCACTTGTTGACTTGTTGCACATCTTTCTATCATAGCTGATTCATTTGTTCACATGGATTTGGTGCTAGTAGCTTGTTATTTGGAGGTGGCCGTGGACATCATTTTTTTTTTAAATAAGTAACAAAATTAAGTTTTCATTGAACTTATTTGGACATGAAATTTTCTTAGCATTTGTTGTAATGAAAATCTCAGTGTCTATTTCCCTATATTGTCCTCACTCTCTTACTTTGGCTTTTAAATCAAATAGAACTTGTTAAAAACTTATCATTATTCATGTTTTATTTCTTCTAGCCAAATTTTTTAACTTGTTAACTGCTTCCCTTGAAATATATTGCAGAAGAACTATTCATTTCCTTTACCTTTAAAAGTGATTTTGTTCTTAAGCGTTTGCTTTCATTGTGTTTAATGTGATTGCTTACAATTGTTTGGATTTGTGTTGTACCATTTACAACTCTTATCAGAACCTGGGATACCTGATAGCAAATTGGGCTGCTAGCAAAGTTAAGAAATATTCTATGATTATTTATGAATTTTTAAATCACAGATGGCATCCCAGCATATTTTCTTGCACTCTATTCTATGCATATATTTATATACACATATTTTTTAGAAAATGCTTGTTATATTCTGAACATTTTCTAATGTTCTCATATATTTTTCAAGGACATAATTTTTTTTTTTAAATTTCATGGCAAGTTTATTTTTTTTTTGAAATAATAAATTTTATTTTTATATTCCCCATACAATTGCAACCCCCCCATTTTGACCCCAATCCCTCCCCTCCCGCCCCCCACTCCCCAAAAACTGTCTCTGGTTCATAGTTTTTTGTTGATTTTGATTTTCACTTTCTTATAGTTATTCATTTTCCTGGTCCCTTATTTAAGTTTTCTAGATTCCTGCTATGAGTGAGACCATCCGGTATTTTTCTTTTTCTTTCTGGCTTATTTCGCTGAGCATGATCCCTTCCAGCGCCATCCATGTTGCTGCAAATTGCATGTGTTTATCTTTTTTGAATGCTGAGTAATATTCCATGGTGTATATGTACCACATCTTCTTGATCCAGTCATCTATTTTTGGGCATTTGGGCTGTTTCCAAAGCTTAGCTATTGTAAACAGTGCTGCTATAAAGATAGGGGTGCAGGTGTTCTTTGGAATTGATGTTTCTGTGTCACAAGGACATAATTTTAATAGCTGCATAATCGACCATGTGAATATATCAGCAGTTATTTAATTATTCCTTTATTGTCAAGCACTTATATTGTTTTTCTGCCATTATAACTAATTGATAAAACTCTGAAACTCATGAAACTTTATGGACTTCCCTGACTTTTTCTGTAGTATAAATTCCTTGAAAGAGAGTGCTTTAGTCAAAAGTTAAGAACAGTTTCAAGACTGTTGCTACAGATTTTTTCAGTGCCCTCTAGAAAGGTTGTACCAATTTACATCCAATGATGATTTTTACTATAGTATACAATATTTTTTCTGCTAAAGACTCTAGTGTTTGTCTCCTTAATAATTTTCTTCTCAGAATAAACAGGTGAAAATAACTTTTGGGTTCTCTTGCAAGAATAATAACCAGTTTGGAGTAATGATGTATCATAACAACCGACTCATCAGGTCCTTTGAAAAGGTGGGATGTCAGGTGAAGGTGAGTCATGAATGTTTCTTCGTCCTAGAGAGCAGAAAAGAGTAGGAAAAGGTTGAAAGTCTGTCCAGGGGGTAGACTCCCTGGACGGTAATGGATAGACCTCCGTGTAATGATGGTTTTAAATATGGTTGTGGAACTTTGCTGTCTTACGTTGAAAACTTTCTACTTCTCCTCTCCTAGCTGTTACTCAACCAAGAAACTTCACTGAATGCATTTTTTTCTTGGTAGCTATTAGTGAGAGGTAGCATTAGAACACAAGCAACTCCACTATGTGTATCAGTTTATTAGTGTTTAAGGTACTCTTTCTATTTTCTTGGGACAACAATAGACATGGTGGAAGATGCATGAAATTTAGTGGTTGATGACCAAGAATCAAGTCCTGACTTTTTAATTTCCAAACTGGGTAACTTTGAATAAGTTGTTTAATTTCTCTAAGGTCAATTTCCTTACATATAAAATGGAAACAACAATAATATTACCAGCTTGCCTGCCTCACAAGGTACAGGTTTGAGAGACTTGAAAGGGATAAATAGCATGAAGATACTTTATAAATCGAACTACATGTAGTAATATCTACAAGTATCCCATTCATTCCTGTTACACAGACAAGATTATTAATGCACAAAGAATGATAAAGAGCTGGATATTATACAATAGGGCAGTCATATTGTAACAGGGACTTCACAATGCCTAGAGGCCTCTGGGTGTGGGCGGCTGGTAGCTGGGGTGTTTCCTGCTGGCCACCTTAGTGCGCAGCCTGCCAACGGCCTCTCACCTGGGCACCATCTGGGTTTGCGCACAGGAGCCTCGGGGGTTCCTGTGGGGCCCCCTGGAACAGCAGCAGTGGGAGTTTCCCCGCCTGCCACACCCAGCATCCACTTTCACATGAGCCATGGGGTCCCTGTTAGAAGACCCAGCTAGCTTTGCTAGTTTGCAATCTTGGTTGTTTGCTTTTTCTTGTCATATCATACAATTCCTTTATATCATCTTTTCTATCATGCAATTCTTTTTTTTTTTTTTAAAGATTTATTTATTTATTTATTTATTTATTTATTTATTTATTTATACAAGCACTGGGTACAGTCAGAAGCACAGGAGGGTGAGAGAATTCACCAGAGCCAGAGCGGGGAGCAGAGCAGGCAGAAGGACCAAAGTATGCTGCTGAGGGGAGCAGCAGGTGGCAGGAGAGGTCTGCGCGCCAACTATCATGCAATTCTTATTTGTGTGCCAGTCTAATTATGCCTTAACTCAGTTCCTTCATTAAATAATTAAAAAGATTTTATCAATAGATGCAAATGATTCTAGTACTTCCAAAGATGAACTACTGCCATCTGTTGCAAAAATCAGTCATGACTTTTCCAACAACCCAATAATTCCAAAATTCTCCTGTATCAACTTATATTTAATAATTACAAGTCTGACTATCTTTACTAGTTGTTTGATATCCTGCACATATAAAATTTCTTTAGAAGATAGTGTATGATAATTGCAGAGCATCTTAACTTTTTTTCAGATGACATTTGGTTTCATTCCCTAGAACAGTCATATTTACCCTTGATTTTTCCTTAAGTGTCATTCTTTGTTCAAATGAAATCTTACGACCATCCCAGAATATAAACATGAAGGTAGAGATCGTGTCTGAGAGATGGCTCTTAATCCCTAGAAAACTCTAGAGATCTGTGGATCATAGTTTGAAAATATCTGTCCTAAAATTTGCCAGAGGTTCCAGTTCAATGCAATACTTGCAGCCCATTGAGGAATACTGAGTGTTTCTCTAGATCTTACTGGCCTTTCTTTGCCCATGAATGTTATATAACCTATTATTGTTAAGCATTAAAAGGAAATGCCTGCAGGCAGCCAATAGTAATGTAAGTGTTGAAATTAATATTTTTCTTCTAAGCCAACTCATGGAGAAGGTGTGGGAGTAGTTGGAGTCATTGAGTGCAATTTCTTAAAACCTGCCTACAACAAACAAGACTTTGAGTACACCAAGGAGTACAGGTGAGTCATTCCCAACCTGAGCTGTTTCTGAGAGTTCATTAAGAAGGGATTCTATTCTCTGAAACCTCTAAAATCATCTTTAAAACCCAGCCAGATAAGTTAACTGAGAATTCCTTCAAATCTATTTTCTAAGATTAAAGATAAAGTGATTTTATTTTAATTTTATTTTTTTAATTTTATTTATTTATACATACAAGAACTAGGGTATAGGCCAGAGGTGTGGAGGGTGAGCAGATTCACCAGAGACAGAGTGGGGAGCAGAACAGGCAGATCTACTGAAATATACTGCTAGGGGAGCAGCAGGTGTGACAGGAGAGGTCTGCTGCGCCATGTGGGTTAGCTCCCTGGCTGGGGATCAAACTCATGCTGCAGTGGCTGGTGATAACTTGATAGCACTGATACTTTAACCTGTGAGCCACCAGGAAGGCCCATTAATTTTCTTATTGAAATAACATTAGTGCAAAACATATAGATTTCATGTGTACATCAATTATAGTTCAATGTCTGTATATACTGCATTATAATCACCATCGAAAGTCTAGTTTAGGGCCTCCCTGGTGCACAAGGGGTTAAGATACAACCTATGAAGTGTCCACAGCCCCTGCAGCATGAGTTCGATCACCAGCCAAGGAGCTACCCACATGGCACCACAGACCTCTCCTGGCTTGCCGGCTGCTCCCATCAACAGTATATTTCAGTCGGTCTGCCTGTTCTGTTCCCCACTCTGTCTCTGGTGAATCCTCTCAGCCTTCACACCTCTGGCCTATACCCCAGATCTTGTATGCATAAACAAATAAAATCTTTTTTTAAAAAAAGTCTAGTTTACATATACCCTACCATGCAGTTGACACCCTTTACCCATTCCACCCAGCTCCCTTCCCTTTTCACCTCTGATAACTCCCATTTTGTTCTTATTATCTGTTTGATTTTGTTTTTGCTAGTTTTTTTTATTTTCCACATATGAGTGAAATGATTTGAATTTTAAATGAAAGCTTACTGATACATGATGTATGGAGTCCAGTTGAAGTAAACCTTACCTCTAGAAATTGTGGAAAGAATGTACAAAGAGTGTACAAAGAGTCATTTAGTAAAATACTTCTGGTGAAACAAAAAGCCTTGAAATTGACCTTAATGAACACAGATCAGTAGACCTAAAGTTATTGAATAATTTGGGGAAAAAGCAGCAATGTGAAGTTGCTTCAAATGATTTTTTTAAGTCTGTGAACAGATTGAGAAAAAGTATTGGAGCAAGAGGAGCAATGTGTATTTTCAGGGAAACATCTAGATTTAATAGGTAAGACAAATAGATAAGAATCAGAAAAGAACTTGGTATTGAGACTGAACCAGCAAGTATACCTTTAGAAGACAAAGAAAGGAGTTGTTAAAGCAAGGATATAATTGCTTCAAAACTTTAGCAGAGGAATTGGATCACTCATTACTTCTGTTATCAGGAATTGTGAGATAATCTCCTATGTGCCAAGGATCAGGAAAAAGACAAAACTTGCCAGCAAACCATAGATCTGAGGCACACAGCAGAGGAGGGGGAGGGAGAGGGGTCAAAATGGGAGGGAAGAGCACAAGGGACTATGGTGATGGTTCACGGGTGCTATGGTGGTGGGAGAACTATGGGGACTACACTTGAGGGGAGAAATCAAATACTATAAAAAATGAACAACAATGTAAGAAAATAAAAAAATATATAAAATAAATTTTAGTGGTGTTAGATTCTTGATTTGTGATGTTTAATTTCAATATGAATTTGAGGTTATTACAGGAGATCCAAATAGAGATATTTCGTAGGCAGTAAGTTTATTCAATTAAATAGATAGGATTTCTGGCTTAAGTAACTTAATATCTGCCACACATTTTACAAAAAAAACCCAGAAAACTAGTATACTATACTGCATGCAGTCTTCTGAGACTAATAAATGCACATAACTCTTATCCCAAGTCTTCTCCTTTTTTATTCTATTTTATATAAAATTAAAATATGTTTACATTAGAAATAAGGAAATTTTAGAGGGAAATCAGAGAAGATTGTCTAAGATCACAGGCTCATCCTAGGAGTATTATAGATAACAAAACCACAAATGCTAAAAGAGACACTAGCCATCATCCTACTGGAATGTCTATGAATAAATCATCTGTGATATCACTTTTAATAGTTGTGGATATCAGGTTTCAGCTGCAACTATCAGGGCTCAAATTTTTTACAGTGAATTTCAGCTTAAGAGATGGAATCAACATATTAACTCAGCGCCCTATTGGTACATGGCACAGTGGCTAGGCTTTGTGGGATTTTCTAGACAAATTCAAGATGTGATTGTTGTCTTTGAGGAGCTTGTAGTCTATTTGTAATAACACGTTGTCACATACATGAAACAATTTAGAGAGCAATAAATGACTGTTTGATCAACCAAAACATAAGTAGTATGGTATAGGAAAAATACCCTGATAGAATAGATAGAGAAGGTTTTGAGTAGAAGGTATGATGTGAGATTTGCCTTAAAAGATACAGCATTTAAAAATGGGAGGGAAAGGAATTCCAGTTTGAAATTATAGCATGATCTAAGGTGGTGATAGGGACTCAGAATGGTAAGAATATGGGGAGTGGGGATAAAGTGAAAGAACTAAAGTGAAAGCAAATAAAGCTAGATGGATAGAGGGCTATATTGTACAGGCAGGGACTGGCAAATTTTTCTGTGAAGAGCCAGAAAGTAAATATTGTAGGGTTTGTGGGCCACATGTTCTCTGTCACAACTACTCAGTTCCTCTATAGTATGACAGCAACCACAGACAATAGTAAAGGAATGAGTGTGTGTGTCCAATATGATTTTGTTTACAAAAATGGGTGGTGACTGGGATTTGGCCCACAGGCTGTAGTTTGCTGACCCCTCTCCTAGAGCCACAGTTCCCAAACTATGTGCTGAGCTGCATATAATAAACTCACAGGGCAGCCATAGGGTATTTTAAATGTTTGCGGGAAATACAGTGATACTTCTGTCAATAAAGAGTAGAAATTGTTTTCTATTGCTGTTGTAAAAAATTGCTACAAACTTGGCTTGATACAATACTTATTTATTATCTTAGAGTTCTGTAGACTCTAAGTCCAACTGGAATCTCATTGAGCTAAAGTAATGGTATTGACAAGGCTTCATTCCTTTCTGGGGGCTCTAGGGAAGAATATATCACCTTGCCATTTCCAGCTTCTAGAGGCTGCTAACATTCTTTAGCCAATAGCCCTCTTCCTCCAGTGTTCAAAGCCATCAATGGTGGCTTGACTCCTCCTCACATCATACCACTCCAGTGACTATGCTTTTGTCCTCACCTCTGACTCTGCTTTCTTGACCCCCTGAGATTCACTTACATCTTTTTTTTTTAAAGATTTATTTATTTATATAAGCACTGGGTACACTCAGAAGTGCAAGAGGGTGAGAGAATTCACCAGAGCCAAAGCGGGGAACAGAACAGGCAGACTGACAAAGTACACTGTTGAGGGGAGCAGCGGGCGCGGCAGGAGAGGTCTGAGCGCCATGTGGGACCCTCGCCGGCGGCCGGTGATCAAACCGGCACTGCAGAGGCTGCGGGCAGCTTTACAGCCCAGCGCTCAGCTGCTGTGCCACCAGGGAGGCCCCCGATCCACTTACATCTTACATGCAAAATATGTTTACCCCATCCCAACATCCTCAAAAGTCTCAATTATTACAACATCAACTCAAAGTCTAAACTCTGATCTTAATTCATCAACTCAGAATTCCCAAATCCTCATTTAAATCAAGTATAGGTGATATTCTGAGTCTGATGCATCCTGGGGCAAAATTTCTCTCCTTCTGTAGACAAGTTTGATTAATTGATTGATTGTATTTTGCTCTGAAAATACAATGATGGGACAAGCATAAGATATCAGTTATAGATATTCCAGTTTAAACAGTAGAAGAAAAAAAGAGTCAGAGAGGTCCCAAGCAATTTCAAAATACAGCCAACCTAATGCCATTACGTTTCAAAACGTGAAAATAATCTAAGGCTCACAGCTTCACCCTCTGACTTGAGATTCTCCCCTCCTGCTTTGTGGCATACCTTCAGAGTCATACTTCCTTTCCATAAAGAATACCATGTTGTAAGAGGTTCCTGGACCCAATTCTTATTGGGTTTGTGGAGTCTTCCCCACGTCAGCCATCAATTCTTGGATACCAGTAACATGTCCAATAATTCAACTCAGATCAGCTCATTTCTCACACTGTTTACCCCAAGATGATATCAGATTCCACAGGTTAAAGGCACAATGTCCCAAGACCACCCTCCACTTTAGATGCAAGCCCAGGCTCTTACCTGTGCTTTTGAGCAACTGGCTATGGGTCATAGATTCTTAGGATACCCTCCTCAGGTCTGATTAATTTGCTAGAGCAGCTCACAGAACTCAAAAAAACCTGTTCATACATTATATCACTGCTTTATTGCAAAGGATAATATTGAAGAACAGCCAGATGGAAGATTTCCATAGGTCAAGGTATGGGAAAAAGGCATGGAGCTTCCAGGCCTTCTCCAGGCATACCATTCTCAAATGTTCATGTGTTCAGCAACCCAAAAGCTCCCTGAAACCTCCTTTTCTTCTATTTTTATGGAAGTTTATTACTTCATAGGATGAATTAAATCATTGGTCATTAGCTATTGAACTCAACCTCCAGCTCCTCTCTCTTTCCACAACATCAAGGGACTTTACTGTAAATTCTACCTTCTAGTCATATTAGTTGGTTGCCATGGCAACCAGTTGCCATCCTTAGGTGCACACCAAAGTCATCTCATTAACATAATAAGAGACCCATTTATCACTCAACATAGGGAGCACTAAGACTTAGGAGCTGTAAACCAAGAACTGTGAGGGAATACCAAATATATATGAGAAATCTGAATGACCAAAATGTTATAAAATAAAAATATGGCACATGTGTTTGCAGCTGGGTAGTGTCACCAGACTGTTTCCTAACTGTAGAGTTTTGGAG